TAATAAGTTTGAGGCAGTGGATAATGTGAAGCTGTTAGTTATAAATAGATGTGCCCTGCGTGCTTAAACTGTAGCTGCAGCAGGTTGACACTAGTTAGCTGTGACAGATTTCTTTAGAGAATAGTTGTAGCACAGCTTAGAGGTTGGCTGGACTTAGAAGTACGGTTTATTGTACAAAGCCCCTTGAGATGCTATCATGCTATGCTGGTATGATCAGGGTATTATTTGGAAAGGACAATAGGGGAAGGTTAATTGCCATGCTCACATATTTAGAATGTGAATCACCCGATGGTCTCTTGATTAGATTAGTCTGCTCATGCTATCTCTAAGGTTACCTGGTTAATATTTGTTCGGCCTGGATTTTTGAACTAAATTTGTACCAACCTTGGGGCAGCATATCACCTTGTAACTTAGTAAGAAGGTGGGAACTAAGTTAGTGTATAAGGAAGGAACTGTGACAAACTTTTTCTTCTGACGTCAAGTATAATCACTCAGCTCATGCGCTTCAACACCCCCTTTTTTCCTTCCTCTCTAAAGTGTGATACTCTTGAGGATATTATTTCTAATAAAGCTAGTCATATGTCCCTGAAGAACCAGTCATGGTTGCTACAATTTTCAGATGTGTGTCTTTGACATTGGATGGCAAGACTATGGACTTAACAGGGTTTAGAGGTTTCTTAGATGAATAAATGGTATGCTGTTTGTGGGTTAAAGGTTCATTGTGAATATTTGAGGACAAGGGTAGTGATATATGTCATAGGGTGGGTTTCAGACTTCAGTGGTTGCTGTAAATAGTAGTGCATAATTTTGGCTTTTAGATCTGATGGGTTTTAGGGTAAATTAAAGAGCCAATGAGGCCTCTGAAATTAGATTTTGTAGTTCAGTCCATCAAAGAATTCATATCTTGATAGATATTAAGACAACATATTTGAGATTGTGAAGTAGAAAATATGCTAGGGTCCGCTTGCATCACACAACCAAAGATAATGTGAACTTATACTCAAATCAATAATTCACATTGAACCAGTGACCAGGGAATCCTGTTTCTTAATTGGCATTCAGTTGTGTCTGATAATAATTAACATTGCTCATACTTGTTGCATTGGTGGTATTTTGGAGGTCCAGATGAGTAGATCTTGATAATGTGAAATTGTGAATTAAAGCTTGGTGGGGACGGTCACTTCAATAGTGTTTATTGCAGAAGTTTATTCTTTTGAGATTATAGCAATGAGAATAGCATATCACAATTAGTAATAACCAACGTGGTTGATTGGGCAATTCTGACCTTTTTTTTTTGGGTAATTACAGCTTAGAGTATCGTCAGACTTTGTTCAAGCTGCATTCCCTCTTCAGATGATTAAATAGGCATACTCTTTTTGCATTGGATGATGCATTTAAGATTTCATTTCCTACTTTCCAAAGAAATTCATCCCAAGATTCTGATGCATTTGAAGCTGAAAATTTGAAGCGATTGGCTAGCTCCAAGAGCCATGGATGTGGTGTGATTTGTTCATTGATGCTTTTTTGACACTTGCTCGAGTGCTTTTGTTTGCTTTTCGTGGCCTGAGTGATGACAACCCTAGAACGCTCCAGGTGAAGAGAGAAAGCACATCCCCTCTCCACAGCCAGCGTGAAGTTCTTATGGCACATTTTTCAGCTAGATATCTTGTGCAGAGTCCTAACATGGTTAGCATCTTCTGTCACTAGTCACAGTGCTGCAAGCTCATTTTGAACTGATGTGCTGTTGCCTATGCAACTTGCAACCATTGATTTGCTCGGCAGGTTTTGCTGTAGATGCTTTTGGCGTTGAGGATAGAGAAGTTTGAAGTGCAAGATCACATGTCCTTCCGTATGTGGCTCGTGGAATCAAAGATTCGAAGATTCCAATTCTCCAAGCAGATGTTCTTTTTTTTTCATTCATTATAGGATGCCATCTTCTAAATCTGCTTCTTGTTATTTATTTTTTATAGTGCAAGCATTAATTGTGTATTTAATTGACGTTATGTTGTTATATGCCAACCTTCATCACTTGTATGTTAGTCACAACATTTCTAGGTAGAAACTATGAATGCTGGATTTTTTTTTTTTTTAAACAATAATAAAAGAAGATACCAGGATCTTTTGTATGCGGTTATTCTTCGTGGAGCCTAATTTGGATCCCTACTACTTCGGTAAAGTAGTTAAATATTTAAATACTGGAGAACCTTTTGTGATTCCATGTCGCGCCAAATTTATTCGTGTTGGTGCTGTATTTTTTTTTTTTTTTCCTGGGATATCTGTTGGTGCTGTATTTGTATAGAATGCAACTTCTGGAAGTGCTTTGCTCCACTATTTCCTTCTAAAGGGTTTGATCAAACAATTCAAGTTCTATTTTTCTTTGTCTACTACGTGTTTCCCATTTCAGGTGCTTTTATTTTTTTGGGGCCACCTGCCATTTTAGGTCTTTTGACTTGTACAAGCAGGGTAGGCCGACGGCCGTGCTGATACAAATTTCTGAAAATAATGTGATTGATCAATGCAAATTCAGGTATGACTAACGTTTTCTTGCATTAGAATTGGATTAAAATTCTAGTGAGCATGTCAGCCTATTTTTTTACCCTCCGATGCACGTGGAGTTGAAAAGCGGAAGATCACCAAATCCAAAACGAAAGATTCTATGCATGAATTGATCATTTACAACCTAACCTAAGTGACTAAAGCAAAAGGATTAATGAAATGCTTAGCTCATCAAACAATCTTGTGTGTACATGAGTCATCTCCCCACCTCAAAAGAAAGATTTGAAGACCATTTTTGTCCCCATCCATCTTTTTATTACTTGAGGGTAGGATTCCTTGGCCCCTTTTGGGCTTTGGTGTCATTCAGTTTATAGAAAATGACCACAAGCCCATAGAAAAAGGGTTTCGTGATGCCCAGAATTTCTTGACCTTCCATGCCCACCTCTTTTCACAAACATGCCAAAATGCATCGATATTATCAGTGTAACGAGACAATTAGCACATTAAATTAGTCCTTATTTCATACAGCATTATTAACTACACTAAATGCAAATTAAAGCCCACACAAATTGTCAACCATCTGAGTTTTTGCACGGTTGATTCTGCAAAAGAAGAATACTGTGACACCAGATTTTGAAGAGAAACCCAAAGAAAAAAAAAGTATAGTAGTGTTTTCACTGTATGGCTAACCATGGATTTTCTGCATACGGAAATTATCAGAAAACTTGAAAACTGAGAAAAAAGGGGAAGAATTTGAAGAAGCCGACAACATGTAATTATTGTCCTTTCATTTCTTCTCCTCCTTCTTCTCCTCTTTCTTCTCTTCCTTCTTCTCTTCCTTCTTCTCCTCTTTCTTCTCTTCTTTCTTCTCCTCCTTGGCAGGTCCAACAGATATGATATCAATCTTCCCCACTTTCTTCAGCTTCTTCACTACTGCCACTGTGTCCATTTGGCCTATGACAGTCAGCTTCTGATCCTTCACATCTGCAGCGATCGAATCCACCCCTAATCGATAAAAAATCACCAAAAAATCATCAATCAGATGGATCCCCGGTTAAATTCCAATTCAAGCCAGAAAATTGAGTTCTTATGCGAAGAAGAAGATGGAATTTGAAGCACCATAGATATCTGCAGCTGCTTCTATTGCTTTCTGCTTTGTCTTATCATCAGTCATAGTCATGACCTTCAACACCACCTTCTGCTACAGATCCGAACACACAGGGAACAAGAAGATGAAAAAGAAGGCCATAGTAAAAGAGATGTACCGTTCTGAATGATTCAGAGATGACAGAGCAAGAAATGAATGGAGATGAGTAGTACCTGAGCCATTGAAGGAGGAACAAGAGTTGATGAGAGAGCAGGAAGCAGAAGAAGAGTTGAAAAATTTGCGGGTTGAAGTGTCTCTAAAGCGTAATGTTTAAGAAGTGATGGTATTTATGAGTGCGTGGGAGTGCGAGATTACTTCGAAGAGAGGGACCCATTAAATGCCAATGCCTGTTTTGGGATGATATTGGCTGCGGGAATGTTTGACACTGCAGTAGATCGTGCTTTTATGGGCCTTCATTTCTGATGGGCTTTCGGTTATGGGTCAAGGACCATCATTAAATATGGCGCTCTGGTCTGGTCATAATGAATTGACAATTGACTGCTCTCGTAAGAAAGTCTAATTGTATATATTCTACCAAAAAGCAAAAAAAAAAAAAAAAAAAAAGAGGGTCTAACAGCGTATAGAGTTGGCATTTCATAATTTATGCTGTTTTAAATGTAGATTTTTATTTAGGCATGGTCTTTCTTTCGTTTCAAGCATATTTCCTTAAACGATGCGATGATGTCAAGGTCCAGAAATTATTTCTCTTGTTCTATAGAAAATTCGGTTTCCAAAATTTCCCAATAACTTATTATTATATCTGTCAAAAAAAAAAAAAAAACCCTCCCCTCATTATCCTATGGAATCCCCATGCATCCCTTATTTTTATATCCAGTTAACTTATATAGTCAACTTGATGATGCATATTAAATCAACTGCATCACTTTGTCCAAAAAAACAAAAACAAAAAACAAATGCATCACTTCAAAATATTTGTCAAATTTATAAAGATATATTATTATTGGGATAAATCAATCCACTAGTACAAAAAATCTTGTGCTCAGAAAATATGAACCAAATTTTTAAAAAGTTGGGAGGCTAATTTGCCACATTAATAAACAAGAGATTTATTATTGAAAAATTTAAAGTTTACAATAATTTATTGTTAATATACAACGGCATATCATTAATAAATGTAATAAACTAATCATAATATAAAATATAATAAATATTGAATTGCTTACTTGATTTAGGTTTATAGCATGAGCTATATCAACAAAAGCTTCATTATTATTGTCATCACCAAATGCCAACAGTGTATGCATGAACCTAAAATTTTCCTGTCAAGACAAGCAAGTGTACTTTTGAAATCTATTTTATGATCTAAGCTTGTCTTCTTCACAACCTCACAGCAGCACTGGTTTACATGCACATGGGTCATGGCTGTATATGTGTGTATAAAATATTCTATCATTCTTCCAATACTTTATTCCGTAAATATTTGTAACATTGTATTTTGTCATGCCGTCCCAGAAACCTTTGAAAAATAATATATAATATACAAATTAAATTAAGTCCACTTGAACAATTAAATTTATCCTGAAATAAAATTATCTCTCACAATTAGTGTTATAAGAATCGGATCGAATTAGTTAGTTCAATTAGAGGAATTGGGAACCAATCATAATTCTAGTTTGGTTATAGCTAAAAATCACCCAACCAAAAAATTGGTAAAGAAATGATGAAAACAGGCAGAACTAGTAGGCAAGCAGTTGGTTGAATTGGTCTTGTTACTTTTTAAAATTTTAATTCATATTTTTAAACTACAATTTACACATATTTGTACCTAATAAGTATTGATAAATGAAAAAAAGGAATAAATATGCAATAAATTTGTATAGAATATGTATAAATGTATATATTTTAAAATTAAAATTATAAATAACAAAATAAGTATCTAATTTTGGATGAAAATGATGAAATATTGATGGATATAACTTTTTTATTTTATATTATTTTGATTGAAATTTAAATGTTCATTTTTTATTATATATAATTATTTCTTTTTATTTTAAGCACATATTATTGAAAACATATTAATTTATTCAAGATTGGTTAAACTATGGTTTAGATTACGATCCAACCATTAATTGTGAATTAATATTTCAGCTAGTTTAATGATCAATCTAGTTTTCTTAATATTTCTCACAATTCTCGCATCTCATCCATATGTATTTTTTCTTTTTTAAGATAAATCAATATGCATGACTTTCATTCAGTATTTTTCCTCAAAAGAAAGAATACATGGTGCTCTTCCCCCTAGTTGTTTTGAGCTATACAAATATATTTTCAATTTTTATTATGTTATATCTATTAAAAGGAGTAAGCAAATACTTATAAAATATATTATTTTATATTTTTAAATTGACAATATCTGAAATACAATGATGGGCTTTTCTAGAAGTGTAAACAAGAGAATTGAACTTGAATTAGAATAAAAAACTTGAGTAACAACCTAACATTAACTTCAATAGATAATAGTAAGCCCAATAGATTATAACCATATACTCTCATATTCTCCCTACTCAAGAAAAGAAATACAACTCAAGAGGAAGAGTGTTGTGTGAAACAAAATGGATTAGGAAGCACGTGCATTTTATCATGAGGATATAAGAATATAGCAGTTGGAAGAGGCTTTATAAGTGCATCAGCAACTTGTTCTGTTATAGGATCATAATTGACTTGTACTAATCCAACAATAGTTCCACATGTTTTGTTTTGGCATGTAGGACAAGATTTATAGTAAGGGAGATGGCACTGGGGTTATCACACCAATACAAGTTATGGGAACATAAAGTTCATGCATAAAAGCCATAAGCCACATAACCTTAGTTACTAAGTCAGCTATGTTATGATACACAGCTTCAGTAGATGAGCGTGATACAACTTGTTGTTTACGAGAGAACTAGAGAACAAGGTTGGCATCAAGATAGATACAAATGCCATTGGTGGATGATAATCATAGCCCTAATCAACATCCACAAATCTTAGAACAACAAAATTGCTAGTAGGCTTAATGAGTAACCCATAATGAATTATGCTACTAAGACACTGAAGAACATGTTTAACATACTTTGGATAAATAATTTGTGATTGATGCATGAATTGACTAAGGTGATTACTAGTAAAAGTAAAGTCTAGACATATTGCAGAGCTCTTGAGACATTACTAAGTAAGATCACTAAGAGGGTCAAAGTCAAAATTATTAAAAGGCGAGTCATTAGAAGTATTATCAGTAGGTTTAAAGTTGTATGGAAGATAAGCATCAGCATTTGAGTTCTTCTATGGACGCTTAACAAGTAGCACATTTGTAGCCATAAAAGTGACATATAGCTTAGTAAGAAGCATATGCGTTTGAGTCAACAGAGCTGTAGTTTATTTATCTTGACTAAGATGAATACTTTCAATAGAGTGAGAAAAGTCAATGCCTAAAAAGTAAAACTCTTACTAAATCCTTGAGAGAGAAAAGACAACCCATATAAGAGATGAGTCTACAAAGTTCATATGAATTACTACCTGTCAAAAGTAAATTGCCAACATAGACTACCATATAAGATATAGAATCATTAGTTTTTCAAACAAAAACACATATATCAATAATTAAAGCAACAAAGCCTAAGGAACAGAGAGCATCTTTTAGTTTATGGAACTAAGCATGAAAGGCTTGCTTCAAACCATAAAGGGAATAATGAAGACATCAAACAAGCTTGATGTTGTTGGGTCCTTTTTTGTTCAAAACTAGGAGGTTGATCCATGAAAACTTCCTCATCAAGATCACCATTTGAAAATGTATTATTAAAATCCAACTGATGAACAAGCAAAAAGTGTGTAAGCACTAGGCGAACGGGCTGTGGGCTAGCCCACACAGGTTGGCATTTTTGCTGGTTAGGTTGGGTAGCCTACTAATTTAAACGAGTTAGAAAACCTAACCCAACCTATTTCATGGAGGGTTAACTCATTTAAATGCATCAAATTTTTTTTTTTTTACAATTTAAATTTTTTTAAAATATAATTAACAAGCATATAAAATTTCAAATATAATCATCCTAATTTAAATTGTTTAACAATTAACATTTCTTGTGTCCAAAGTCTACGCAAATCAAACAACAATTAATAATCAAACTTTCTAGTGAACATAAACACATAATCTATGCTCTAAGCATTTATGATTCACTAATTGAAGAAATACAATCCAACCAAGGTACATAATTAGAATTCGAGGTATAGAGGATCCCTAAGTGCAACGAGAACTAGAGACCGAGTCAGGGAGGAAGCACCACTGCCACTGTGTTAGGAGAGGTGATAAGCAAAGTATAGATGAAGACTTTGTGCCCACGAGCAATGACAAGCTGAACAGAGACAAAGGTGTAGACTGAGGACTTAAAGAATGACAGTGAGCTGAGCACTTAAGCAGAGATATGAAGTTAGAAGAAGAGCAATGGTGACTGAATAAAGACCGAAGAGTGAGAAGAGTGAGAAGAGTGAGTTGAGCAATTACTATCTTTACTGATTGAGAGAATGAGTTTAGAAGAAGGATTTGTAATCTTGTTAAGCATTAAGCTTCAGTAGACTAAAGAATTAGAAAAGAGACCAAATTAAAGAGTTAAGCCTGAGTAAGGAATCAAGAGAATGAGTTCAGAAGAAGGCATGGCTATGTTTGTGACTTTCTATGAGTATCCTAACCTAGGGTTCTAATGTTCTATCGAGTTCATCAGTTCAACCATTGAGCACTCTACTACACTCAGGCATTCAGATTCTATGTTTTGTGATTATCTTAGACCTAGATAGACTCGAGTCTTGGTCTTAGACTCTTAGGCTATTGGATTGTCATCTTAAATTCTCAACTCTGAATGACTAGTACTAGAGTTCATGCCAATATGTGCATGTGTACTATGTATCAATTGAAAGGAAAAAAATTGAAACGAGCTAACTCATTTAGCCAGCCTAGTTTTATGGTTTGAGCTAACTCAACCCATTTTTTAAAGCGAGCTCATTTTGTCAACCCAAACCGTAAAAAATGGTAGGCTAACAGGCTAACCCATTAGGTTGAGCTCGTTTTCTTGGCTCTAATATGTTATAGCTATAAAGAGAAGAATACAAACAATAGCTAGTTTAACGACAGCACTAAATGTGTTTATGTAATTAGCACCTGGTTCTTGAGAATAGCCTTTAGTAACTAGGTAAGTTTTAAACTTCTTAGGTGATTTATGATTAAAAAAAAGCCATTTACAATTGATAGCTTTTTTATCTTAGGTAAAGGAACTAACTCCCATATTTAAAAGTAAAGAAAGAGCATTATACTCTTCCTTAACAAT